GTGATGGAGATTTACTACTAATCACAGAACCGGCTTTACTGACTAGATGCGCATGACAATCGCATGCGATTGAATTGTACAGCCCCATCACACTCACTCTCACACTCGCACTCGCACTCACTCTCACGCACTCACTCACACACACACACACACACACACACACACACACACACACACACACACACTCATTCACACACACACACTCACTCACTCACTACACACAGAGCTGATGCAAACTGATATAAACTGTTAAATTAAAACTTATGCGCAAAAAATGCCTTATGTGCAATTTAAAAGTTTTATACAACGTAGGTATTTTTTTTAGTGTTGGTTATTACATCTAAACATTAACAACAGAGCCTGAACTGTTAAATTCAATAGCTATTTATTTTAACCTTTTATCTTATCCGTTCATATCAAAATCTCAGGATACGATAATATCGCAATATGAAGTCCACGGTATGATATTTATTGCGATATTTAAAAAAAAAAAAAGACATGAAGAATTGGAAAAAATTAACATTTTGTAAATTTTAAAGTTAAATTATTCTATCTAATGCACTTTTAGAGTTCAAAATGAAGAGCTCCAATAATAACAACGACAGTAATAGCCATATATTGTAAAACAATTGCATTTGAATATGAATGAATATGAATATTTCATCTCGTCAATACAGTGGGGAAATAATACTTCTTTCCTAATTTCTACACTTGAAAGAGATATTTTGAATTTGGACTGCATTTAAAATGCTAGCTGCCAGCAATTCATGCAGCACTTTTAAGCTTTTATTTTGACGGAAACGACAGTATAGCTTTTATTTTGAAGGAAAACTCCAGCTTCAGTGAAAACAGACTTACAAAAACACGTCTCACTACAAATATAGTGAAATGCTGTAATCATCTGCTGCGAAAATAAAGCATAACTGGTGTCTGTTGCATTCCTAAACGCAAGCTAAACTCACATCACATGAAATAAACGAGTTGACTGCATTCATTCAGTGTGAACGAGTCGTTCTGAGATGCAGAAAACACCGGATCACGAGCTGATCGTCTGAACTATGGAAAGCCATATGGGTCATAATTCGCACGCTTTCCACCGCCGTATCGATATTAAAACGCCGTTTTCATAACGCCGCCAGGCGTTAAATAAGCGCCGTCAGGCGATAAGTTAACGGTAGACACCACCACGCGTTAAAATAACGCCACACGCCACTTAAGATGCAGATTTATTTGCTCATCTACATAAATTATGGTTTGTTAGGATAGAATAATATATAATGAAATTCAACTATTTGAAAATCTGGAAGCTGAGGGTGCAAAAATGCACATTACTAATCAAAATGTTATATATTTTTAGAAAAGTTTTGATATTTACAGTAGGAAATTTACAAAATATCTTCATGGAACATGATCTTTACTTACTATCCTAATGAATTTTGGGATAAAAGAAAAATTGATAATTTTGACCCATACAATGTATTGTTGGCTATTGCTACACATATACCCCAGCGACTTATGACTGCTTTAGTGCTCCGGGGGGAGGGAAAGCTGGACTTAAAAATGTCTTTTCTCCCTGTGTGGTGTGTAACAATAGATGGCTGGAGGAAATGTTGGAAATATTGAGGGCTTTCCTTCCTGAGTTCCAGCCAGCAAAGAAAACATAAAACCACATGAATTCACCTTCTGTTGGTTCACATCTGTCTGTCTGCGCTCCTCAGGCTGTGTGTTGAACAGACAAGACGTGCGGCTGATCCTGCACTATGACAGAGGGTTCACTGTGAAGCGGGAATCTGGTGAATCTGTGCTCTTTCACTTCCCCTATGAGCGGCTCAAGATGTCTGCAGACGATGGAGTCCAGAACCTCTACCTGGACTTTGGTGCTCCAGAGGGCGAGATGGTATGATATCTACCTGAGATGATGGGATGAAATGGACACACAATTCTGAATGAAAGTCTGTTGGTCCTGACATTTATAAAACTTTCACTCATTAAGGCCTCCATAATTCTGTTATTTTATTTATCTTTTTATAGCTTTTTTTGTCTGTGTAGTCTCTAAAAATGTATGTAATCTAGAGTGACTAGAAATGTTATGTAATCATTAGTCAAAATACTTAGGATCCCTGTATCCACCTTTTTTCTTACACTTTGACACTTTGTGCAAATTATGGGAGTAATTTTCGTTTACACTAGGGATGCACGATATAGGATTTTTGCCGATATTTTTCAACTATTTTTTGGCTGATACCGATATATTTCCTTCTGTTTGGAAACAACACTGTCTCTCCTGTGCAGAAATAAGCAAAATAATTTTCATTTTGGTTAGTTTTTAACATTAACTTATTTGTTAGAATTAAATAATAATGAAGGTTTTTTGACAGTACATTGAAGCTTTGAAAATAACTATAAATAAACTCTATATCAATTGCTGCATTTTTTTCCCTAAGAAAGATACAGTGTTAACCCTAACATTTTATTTTAAGACTTAACATTTGATTAGATGGTCTAAAGCAAAAGAGTTGAAAAAATTCTGAAAATCTTTTAGAGCTCATGATTTGTTTAAAAAATAAAACGTATTACATACTAATTAATAAATCAGTATATATAAAACTATTTAATTTACAAATGTCATGTTTGTGATTTATTTTTTCATGTAAGCTATAGCTTCTGACCTTTAAATCAAAATATACTCATTATTTTATGACATCAATTACTGCTTTATTTAACCAGAAACAGTCTAAATTTTATTTGTGTAGGCTATTTTACTTTTAATTTAATTAGAAGTAGGCCAACAGCGCCCTCTACAGATTAAAGCTCCTTACTGAGCAGGCGTTAGGACCCGGGGGAGTTACTCTATCACACACCAAACGCGTCACGTGCTTTCACAGATTAAATGCAGCAACCCAAAACAGTCAATCTAATCATCATTCAGACAAAACTTTGCTTCAAGAATGAGCCACACTGCTGACGTGATCTAATCGCTAGCACAGGTGAGTTAAAGTATTCCTCTTATCACAAGACATATCGGCATAATTTTTCATATCGGGCCGATGCCGATATTTACATTTAAAGTCATTTTCGGCCGATTCTGATATTAGTCCGATGATATCGTGCATCCCTAGTTTACACTGTAAATGCCCTAGTGAAAAATAAATATACTTAAATGTATTTGAAATACATTTATTTAATGCTAAGTATATTACAAATACTTTTTCATATTTATGTTCTTAATAAAAATACCCTGCAATTGTACTTTTAGTATACTGAACTGGCATACTTCAAGTCTGCTAAATTGGAACAACTAATATTGTACTTAATGCACTTTAATTGTGCAGAAGTAGTGCTGAAGTCCAATTAAAGACATACTTAGTATATTTAATTGTGCAAAAATTGAACTATTGCAAGTATACTTTAGGTACACTTTAAATATTTCGCATTTAAAGACCGATATTATTCAAAGATCATAAAATCCTCATGTGACATTAAAACACATTTTAGGCTTATTTTTAATAAATGGGCATTGTGCACAAATGCAATACTCCAAATAAAGTTTCATTAAAATTTTTATATCAGTAATGGTCCTTGCTCAGTTCGAAATTTTCGCATGTGTTTTTTCCGGGTTTTTTTCGTATTCGTCATCCTTTCTTATCAAAATACATGCTACGGATGCGAAAACGCAGAAAATCGAACCTGATCTGAAATTTTTTTATGACGGACGAAAGTTTCGGAGGCAGTGTGTAAACGTGATTGACACCACGTGAGGCCGTATTTATTTTTCAGCGTGCCAAAATTTCAGACTTGGTGTGCAATGGCCTTCAGTCTCGAGTTATCTGTCAGTAAATGTGTTAATAGATTTGAACTATACTTAGTATACTTAAATGTATTTTAAATATATTACTTTTTTACTAGGGCAATCAACAAAAGTTTTGCTCTGTGAACGCAATAATCAGCATTTAAAAAAAACTGGGTACAATAAGGTTACATAATTTTACTCACCCTTCAACCATTGATCATTAAAAGAAAATTTAAGTTTAAAAGCATTAAAAATTACTTTTAGCGCACCATGAATAACTCCTAAAGATCCTCCTTCTATCCACAGCAATATTACGGACGTGTTAAACATCATTATAGTAATATACTATAACTATTTCATAACAATTAAATTTTTACAGCATCCGTGTGAAAACAAGCCTGGAAAGAGACGTGAGGATTTGGGGAGAAAAAGAAAAGATTCCCAGTGCATTCCAGGGAATTATTCATGGTTTATAGCGTAAATGAAACTGGGAGATCAGATCACAAATGCACAGTATATGTTTGTTGTTTTTTTTTTTTCGTTTACTGACAGCGGAATACAAAGGAAACATGAAAATAATCAGGAGGAAAATAATGCAGCGGGCTGAAAAGAGCTATTATATACTGTTGTTATTAGAGATCGACCGATATATCGATTTGGTATCGGTTATAAAAAAAAAAATCAATATCAGCCGATCATTAGTTGTTCTATCTTGACACATTAATATACCAAACGTAACGTTATTCTCCTGACTTCTTAAAATAGAAAATGAATGAAAATGTATAGCCCATTTAGTCAAAATGGAGAACAAGGATGATTTGTAGCGCAATCTTTTTGAAATGATTTGTTGCAGTCTTTTTGAGTGGAACTTCCCCAAAATCGGAAGAGCCTCCCATCATTTAAAACACAGAAGGCTCGTTGGGAAAAAGGTAGATAGTTCTCATAATAATCAGTATTTTTCTGTCTCTCTTGCAGGTGTTTGAGCTTCACACGGGGCCGAAGCCTGTGGTCTTTGTGCTTCATTCGTTTCTCTCAGCCAAACTGTCTCGCTTGGGACTGCTCACATAGAATCAACAGCAAACGATGGAGGTTCATTTATTTCTTTGATTTATTGATGGCTAGTATTTTACTCAAGAAGTGTTTTCATAGTTTACTTCTCTTCTAGCCAACACATTTGTTGTGTGAGTGTGTGGCTTTCTAAAGCAGAAAACAATCCCAGTTTCCTCTGATCAGGAACACCAGATGTGCCTTCTCATCTAGAGCCAACAAGCTTTTACACTCATTTTCAGGCTTAAGGTAAAGCTTTGCAGAGGAACCAAAATGACCATATTACTCTTGTATTATCTGTGCTGTTTGTTTTTAACGTAACTCGCCTGTATTTATGTTTATATGTATCGCATGGCAAAGACTGTTACCTCTGTGTGTTATAATCTGAATGAATGTGTCATTTGAATGCAAATATGGAGAAAATTAAGCTTTAAATGCATTCCCTCACGACTGAAGTTAAAACTCTAGAAGGTGTTGAATAGGATTGATTCAGTTTAACTAATATTTTGAAAAAATATCAAATATAGGAATGTTTTATTAGTTTATCTGTTCTCTACACGTCATAAGAAAAACTTTTTCCACATTTATGACCAAACCTGCTCCAGGCCTTAATACCCTGCTGTAGTACATTAATGCTCGTTAGATGAGTGTTTAGTCCTTATTATAGGCTTCCCGCTGTCATCATAACCTGGAAATATCAGGGGATTCCAGGATTGGAAATGTGAAGGAATTTAATGAAACCTTTTTATTATTAAATAAATCATGGGGAAAAAGTCCTATTTCTATAGTCTATGTATATTTTGCTCTGAAGAACTTGGCTTTTTGTAAGTACAATCTTTATAAAATGGCTTTTAATAATCCTAATCCAGTTTTCAGACAAGACTGGAAAAGTCTTGAGATTTATTGGTCAAAACATGTGGGGACCATCACGTTTTCAGCACTGATATGTGGTTTGTCACGGTGTGTATGTTTTGTTTATCAATATAATATCAGTATAGCATCAGTATATATTCTTTATTAACATTTGATCTTTTTATGTAATGCAAACTGAGTTTTGATCACATGATCTCTTACATTAACCCATGACTTCGGTCACAGGTGCCGTAGTTTAGGAGTTTTTCAGTACTGAAGACATTCCCTCATAAGTATACTGCTTTAGGCAACATGCACAATGTTCTAGTAGAATAAGAATATGAACAATATGATAGTATATGGAGGTAATGACGTTTTTAAAATGAGTTGAGCAGTATTTCTTCATAACCGTTGCTCAAGCGTAACAGAAGCAATGTTTCTATAATATGTCTTTATTTTAACGTAAGGCTCACTCCACAAGTGAAATGCAAAAAACAAATGTATCTGCACAAGGACCACACGTACAACCTCTTTGATGCTTTAAGTGCCTTTAAACTTTTATAGTCTATTGTACATACTAATATCATGAATATTTCAAATCAGAGGAAAAAACATTTTTACTCATGTGGAAACCTTCCTCGTTTCTTCTGAAGTGTCCATTAAATGTTATGCTTTCGGCTGTATTTATTGATTATTCTTTGACTCTTGAGTTTGGTGATCAGTCATAGTTTTGGACATTATGTTCTGTCACATTATTTCCATTTATGTAATGACATCAGACCGCTTATTGAGGACCCACTGTATTGTGCATTGTCTTAACTGTGAAGCTGTGTCAGTGCTGTCAAGCGATTAATCGCATCCAAAATAAACGTTTTTGTTTAAGTAATACGTGCATGTACTGTGTATATTTGTAATGTGTATTTATAAATGCACACATGCATATTTCAGAAAAGTGTTGTTTATAGCTTAAATATATTTATAAATAAATATATACATGTAAATATTTTCAAAATATATACTGTATGTGTGTGTATTTATATATACATAATAAATATACACAGTACACGCATGTAAACAAAAAGTTTTATTTTGGATGCGATTAATCGTTTAACAGCGCTATTAAACACACTTGCCCAGGTTTACAGATTGCACAGGTGAGATGTTTGGAGCTGTGGTCAGCCTTCAGACCATGAATGTACTTTATAAACCCATAGATGCATGCCTCAGTTTCATTATTTGCTAATAGCTTGATTTTTCTTTATTTTAAAGAGAAAGAGTTTGAACCAAAGTTCACTTGTGGCAGCTTGCAGCACACAATCGAATGCAACAAAAAAATGCTTATTTGTTTGTACATGTATTATAACTCTCAAAGTCTTTATGTAAATGTCATATATAAATAAAAACATGTAAATTATTAAATCAGTGTTATGTAGTGTTATTATGGCACTAATGTGTTGAGCTTTTGTTTCCGGAGGACAGTAGCAACTTCTGTTTCTATGTTCACTCCTCTATCACATTATATCAACCTTCTTTAAAATTATTTTATTGTTCTCGTTATTTAACGAACACTTTGAGTATATTATAAACGGTTTTGGGGGTAACGCATTACAAGTAGCGCGAGTTACGTAATCCGATTACTTTTTTCAAGTAACTAGTAAAGTAACGCATTACTTTTTAATTTACAAGAGAATATCTGAGTTACTTTTTCAAATAAGTAACGCAAGTTACTTTTTTCCCCCAATGTATTGATTGACAGCTCTCCTGTCCCCATGTTGAGAGAAATCAGAAGATGTTACTGTAGTTCTAAAATAAATATGAATATGCATTAATTCATCTCACTCACAAAAAACAGATTCAGTATTCCTCAAAATGAATACAAATAATGCAACTCCGAATATGACGCAAACCTGCAATAATTAAATGTTAAACAACACAAATATCCTTTATGTATTTAATCCCATTCTATTAACCAATGTCTTTGCTTCTGACCTTTGATGATCCAGTTCAACCGTACTAATAAGCACAAATTACTCTAGACAAACATTTGTGTGTCTT